GTTAATTAAGGTTTATTGAAATCTATAAAAAAAAATAAGGTATACCAATCAGAAATAACAAATGGAACCTCGCTAATTTAATTAGATAAGTTTGTCTTTGCAAGGAGACGAATAAACTCATCTTGATCAACACCACCATCGCCATTCAAGTCAGCTTCTTCGATCATTTCTCTTAATTGAGCATCGGTAATATCCTCACCTAATTCTTTAGCGACACGTTTTAAATTTTTGAAAGTTATCTTTCCAGTGGCATCATCATCAAAAAGATTAAATATCTTTAAAAAATCATTTTCCACATTACGCTCAGACTTGAATCGTCAATATGTTACCAATGAATCAAAAGGTAAATAAATAAAGTGTGTGATATTATCGTTATTAAGCTATACAAAATTAATCAAATTATTCTCATACGTAAACCGCTAAATTATTTTTAGATAAAACTTATAGGAGAGTCAATTGATTAACTTTGTATAGTCATATCTGCATATAAGATTAAAATTCCAGATCAAACCATTTTTGTTTCCACAATCGCTAAAAATGATTCAAAATTGATAGTTCCATTTTCGCAATGATCAACTTCGTTTATAAGACGTTCTTCTTCATCTTTAGGCTCGAAACCAAGAGCATGAATTGCTACTTTCAATTCTTTTACGTCCATGATACCTGTTCCATCTGGATCAAATAAATTAAAGGCTTCACGAATTTCTTCTTCTTGTTCAAACGTGAGTTTGGAAACGGATTTTCGTTTTTTACGTTTGGAACTTCCTTGGGAAGAAGTACTCGCAGAGGAATACGTTTTTGCTCGAGTCGCATTACCAGATCTATTTGGCTATATAGGTTGCATTAGATGGAATATGTATTATCTATTAAATCTTTAAAGAATCTTTGTAAACTTAAAAGTTGCCTCAGAGAGAAAATCTACCATTTACTGCACTAGAAATACTTGTGTTTATATTTCTGATATTAACAAAAAATGAAAAAAAGATTGTGTTTAATAACGGTCATTACGTTGCAATTTTCAAAAAACCACGTGATATACTACTGGGTCATTGAAAAATTTTGAATGAATACGTATTCGAATATTCATTGAAGATTCATTGAATATTATATAAGGGAGCGATGGGTATTCTGGCGCACCTAAGGATTGCTAATAGTAAAACTTTTTGAAAAAATTATATTTATTCACAAATTTACAAAAATAAAAATAACATTCAATAAAGGTTGAGAGTATTATGTGCAGTATTACTGCATGAATTACATTATTGATACTTTACATATTAAAATATCAAAAACAGAACTTTATTAGTAATATCATATTTGCATAACTGATAAGATCTATGTTAACTAGCATTATCAGTCACTCGATTTGTCACATCTAAAATTTTAACATATAGAGTGTTCCCAATTAAAACAGCCCATATTTACATATGCCTCATTTTGAGATAATTAAGTTTAATCATTTGTTTTAATTTTCAGACTGATCTGGGATTAATCAAATTCCATGATTTTGATTGGTTAAAGGTAACAGGTGACTATTGGGTAATCTCGTAATATGCTTGATTTTAGAAAGCCTTGTGTAATTTTTTTTTTACATTATCTCTATTTTTTATTATGCAAATTGACTTTCATTTATAATTGAAAAATATTCATTATATCAAAATTTATATAAATCTAATAAAAACTCATTTTTCAAAAAAT